TGGCGGGTTCATATTGTGTGAACATCAGCAGCAGATCATAGACTGTATGGAAAAGATCGACAGTGCCTCACAGTACGGTGGCTGCCATCTTGGCATTTTGCAACCAGCTTCTGCACAGTAGTGACCAGAGGTGGAGTGACAGTGTCAGTTTACCAATCAAAGCTGTCAAATCATCCAAAAATACCTTTTTTATATTATAAATAACGTATTAAAAGCACACCTACCAGAAAAATGACCCCTTGTTTACACATCCGCATGATAATATCTACAACAACAAAAAAACAAACAAACAGACTTCACCTCTGGGAAAAATGCATTTGATTTGTACTTTGAGTCTTTAGTTTGGTTTATGTCCCATCAGCTAACATGGAGGAGGCAGGATTTGTGACCTACTATACTGCAGCCGGCCACCAGGAGGTGATCAGTGTGGTGGCTGTCCATCTTTATACATAGTCTGTGCAGTGAACACAACTAATGCATGGAACAATGTGCCTAGGCTTTCCTCATGTATATAGTTTATAGTATCTCTTACCGTTGTTGGAATACATAGTTCCATTGCTCCAAATGAGAACATTTGATTTTGTGAAGTTGGGTGAATACCAATCGAGTGAGCTGGATATTGTATGTGGAGTGCCTCAGGGTTCTGTTTTGGGACCTAAATTATTTATACTATACATTAATGATATATGCAAGGTTTCTGATTTAGTGAAAGTGGTTTTGTTTGCTGATGACACTACCATATGGGCATCGGGTGAAAACCTACAGCAACTTTCTGGATGGGTTTCACAGGAACTTGAGAAGATAAAGAAATGGTGTGACAGTAATATAGTATCTCTGAATTTGGATAAAACTAAATTTATGGTATTTGGGAATCGTAGACTAGATAATGAACTTCAATTGAAAATTGGGGGAGCTAATATAGAACGAGTATATGAAATTAAATTTCTAGGTGTCATAGTTGATGACAAATTCTCCTGGAAATCTCATATCAGATATGTTCAGCACAAAATAGCAAAAAATATATCGATATTGGCAAGGGTTAGATATATTTTGGATGGGAAAGCACTACGCATTTTGTATTCTTCATTGATTTTACCATACTTAGAGTATGGCGTTGAAAACTGGGGAAATACATACAAAAGCTCACTTCAACCATTGTATATATTACAAAAAAGAGCGATAAGAATTGTGCATAAGATGGGGTATAGGGATCACACCAACGTAGCTTTCATACAGTCTAAATTGTTAAAATTTTTTGATTTAGTGGGATAAAAGACTGCAGTGTTTATGTATAAAGCCAGGAGCAATTTATTACCTGGTGGAATTCAAAAACTATTTAATGAAAGGGAAGGGGGATACAATTTAAGGGGTCAGTTAAATTTAAAAATTCATGCTATACGTACAACCAAAAAAAGATTTTGTATTTCCATAAGTGGGGTAAAACTATGGAATAATTTAAGTGTGGACATAAAAAATAGTAATAGAATTGATAAGTTTAAACATAAATATAAAGGTATGTGTCAATCAAGATATATGCAAGAACAGGCTTAATGATTAATTAGATGGAACATTGTGGGTGTGGTGTATGAATGTTAACACTTTGTAATAATTCTTTAGTATATTACTTGTGTGGTGTAGAAGAGAATTATTTAAGAATGTAATTATGTAAGAATGTTAACACTGTCATAATTTTTTTGTATATTACTTGTGTGGGTAGAAGAGAATTATTTATGTAGAGATACTGCTTGCAAACCAATGATGGTAAGATGATGTCATGGGGTAGGACTGGATAAGTCTGACTTCTTCCTACTCCATTCAAGCATGTACTAGGTATAAGCAAATTGATATTGGATTATGTGTAAAATTATGTGTGTTGTCATATCAACTGTTTTACATGCTTGAAAGAATAAATCAAATCAAATCAAATCACAAAAAAATAAATAAGACATCAAATACTTGTGTGAAGTTGAATGTCACACAGTTTGATGGAATATTTTTAATCCTGGAAAGTTGATGATTTCAGCCACATCTTGTGGCTTCTGTCCAAATCCGACCTGTGCCCGAGAATGTGGCATCCAAACCCATCCTGGACCCTACAAGCTTATAGAACGTAATGTATGAAGCACAATTCAGTTGAGTTTGTATGGTGTTCTCCCCCTTATCATTAAACAAAGCAGATATTTATGTGTTCCAGCCATCTAGCCTAAAGCTTTACCTACATGTCCGAACCCGACCCGAACACGTTTTCTAAATTTCTGACTGAGCGCGGTCTGAACCCTTGAGTATCAAATCCCACTGGGCTCAGTTTGGGTATCTACACTCTAATTTGAGGGGTCTCCTGACTAATGAGTCGACTAGCCAACTTTCACAGGACAGCCCTAAAGTAGCTTTGGCTGTGGCTCAAAAGATAGAATTGGTCATCAGCTAATCACATTGTTGGCAGCTCAGTCAAGACACTGAACCTCAAATTGCTGAGATAAGGGCTTTACATGGCAGCTCATCATTGCTGTGTGTGTCTGAGAATGAGTGAGTAAGTGTATGGAAATGTGCTTGGGAGTAAAATGCTTTATAAAAGCAATCGTTTTCCACCAGCATACAACAAACTTGGGCCTGGTCCACACATGCACAAGTATTTTAAAAAGGTTTTCCCTCTTTTGTTAAAAAAAAACAAAACAAAAAATTGTTGTCCAAAAGATTCATCCACATGAAAGCTCAAAAACACACTGTCATGAGTATATCAAGCCAACAGCTGGCCATCAGTGTTACAACCATCACTACTTTAGCTATGTCCTTCAATGTCCAGCAGTGCACAATATCTCCTGATAAACAAAGGCGATAATGTCACTGATGTCAAGCAAATGACATATCGGTACACACTCACATGAATAGCCAAAAACACTTCAAGACTGAAAGCACGGTTTCTAAATATTTTCAGTTTTCATTGACGTAAAACGCCGTTTGATAAAAACATCAGGATGTTGTCACTGTCAAGGTCAGCACGTTCTGCTCAAAGTCCAGTGGTGCCTACTGTAAGTCCAGTTTGACAGGGCTACGGCAGACAGTTGTTCAAATTTAAAATGTACTGCTAGGCACAGACTGTATCTTGGTCAGTTTTTGAGTAACTGCATTTAATTCCTGATCAAAATGCATGTGTGTTAAATGAGGTAGATGGAGCTAACTGACTGGTTCTCTCTAACAACATGGTCATATAGCGGTAGTAGTTATTTGTTCTCAAGAGGTAAACAGTTTTCTACTTGCTGTTACAACACATTTCCAACAGCAGGGTTATTTCCTCTCTTATTTTACATCATACCTACCTGTGTCTTCTGTTCCTTTTTGTAGGACTTTGATGACTTCATCTTTGCCTTTTTTGCCATTGAGATGGTGATCAAGATGGTTGCTCTGGGGATTTTTGGAAAGAAGTGTTACCTTGGAGACACATGGAACCGCTTGGATTTCTTCATAGTATTGGCTGGGTGAGTTACACAATTACACACAGAAAAACACACACACCAAACACACAGGTGGCCAAGCATAACCATACATAAACACTGGAAGCTTGCACAAGAAGCAGTATACACACACACACACACATGAAATCAATCTGTAAGGGTAGAATTGAGAGTGTAATTGATGTTTTGAGGTTGTAAATGTAATAGTGTCACTAGATTTCCACAAGTTGCAGGGTGTTCTTTGCTTGCTGTCCCCCAGAGCAGATCAAACTACATTGGATTTGAAACCGGAATATGTTAGAACCTGTTTTCTAAAAAGAGCAACAACAGGCTACAGTTGAAGTCAGACGTTTACATACACCTTAGCCAGATACATTAAAATCTTCACAACTCTTGACATTTACCCTAAATGTCCTATAAAAGACTTTAAAAATAGTTTGCAAGTACCATTGCAATGCTCAGAATTTGTTTAAAAAAAAGCTGGAGAGTGAGATCTGAATAAGATAAGTGAATGCAATTTTTTTCTACACTAAAATCAGTCTCTGTACACTTCATATTATGCACACACAGCAATGCACACACACTGTAATTTGATTAAACATGTTACAGAACATAGCCTGCTGGTTTTGGCCTGACATTTTCATCACACTACATCTCCTGCTGCTTTTTAATGCCATCCGTCTGCCACAGCTTCTGTTGTCCATCAGTGGAAGCAAGGCACAATTTCTCGTGTGTGTGTGTGTGTGTTTGGTATCCTTCATGTCACTTCTGGATCTATACATTTTCCATCATTTTATTAATGTACTGCTCAACAGTTGTCTTGGACAAAGGAAAGTCTTTTGTCCTGGACATTATGGTGTCTTTGTCCATTATATTAAGCCTCTGCACTGTTGAGAGATACCTCCTGTATGTATTGTCCTTGTGTGAATGGTTTCACAATTAGAAATACACAACTTTATAACTCTTTGGAGGTTTTTGGAAGTACAGTGATTTTAAACCTGTTATTTCGATAAGCATATTTTTACATTGTCCATTTAACTGACTCGGCTTTATCAGACCCACCGTTGAAGTTTTCCTCATTAGGTTCTCAGCAAAATTCATTTATCATTGTTTTTGTTGACAAAATTAACAGTGTTCAACACCATATTTTCACAGAAAAATGCATATACCACTCAGTCTCCTCCTCTTAAATAATTTCAAACCTTCCAACCACTACAACCCCTGGAACCCAAACAGCGCCTATTCCCTCAGCAAACCTGGAGGAAACCCTGGACATATGTCACTACTTTGCTAAATATTAAATTAGTATAGTCCCATAATTACAAACAGTTAAATTAGGTTAGGTAAAGCATCATCATGAATCAGTGTTGACATGATTATATATATCGAATTTGCATTTCCAAAAAACAGAGAGCACGATGCCAACAATTTGCATGTGACAGTGGCGAGCAAATTTAGCAGGTCTTTTGAGCCTGGTTAGACAAAGAAGTCTGGATCATTGTTAAAGTAAATTTTATGTTTGTTTGTTTTTTTTCCACATTGTTTTAAACCATTATCCTTACTACATTTGTGAAAGACATCTGGGAGCACTTACTATACTTACAGTAAAAAGTCCAATCTCTTTGTATAGCACATTTAAAATCAACAATAGTTGGCCAAAGTGCTTTACCTGCAGTAAAAACAAAAAGCATTTATAAAACACACAGAACCATAAAACAAAATTACAGGCAGTTAGATAGGACTGTGCCTCAGAGTGAACTAAAAGCAAGAGAATGAAAGTGAGTTTTGAGTTGGCCTTTAAAAGCGAGGAGAGTTGGTGCCATTCAGATGTGTAATGGTAAGTTATTTCACAATCTAGGGACCGCAGCTGAAAAAGCTCCTGTCATTTTTAACATGACCCTTGGAACTACTAAGAGCATCTGGTCCTTAGACCTGTAAGTGAGTGTGAGCATACAGATGCTAGAGGTCCAGTATCTACCAAGGGGCTGAGCCATTCTGTGCTCAATTCATTTGATCAAATTCATTTGACCAAATAACATGTTTGAGATCTAATGAAAATATTTTGGGCCTACCTTAACTTCTACACATAGGAAGAGTAAAAATAATGATATAAATATGTAATTATTTGTTATTTTTGACCTTTTATCAAATAATCTGTGATATTTTTACAACCTGTAAATCCAATAAACAGATGTAAGAAACATAAAAAGGCTTACCCATCAATAATACTGAATAAATGTTTCAACCGCATTATATATATATTCAAAAATAAGTAAAATAATTCACAAGTTATGGCAAAATATGCTACAACTTATTTTACACAAGACATTTGCAAATTTTGTAGGTAGACAAGGTACTGTATCCTGCACTGCATGACTGTGTAGATGAGGACTTGCATCATTGTTTGTAACTGGCTCTCACGTTACACTGCGGAAACGGGAAAAAAACTACTAGAATGTAACAGCAATATTCATTTTGTTCAGTAAAGGCAGGAGGCAAAACAAGAGGTACAGCATAGATTTAATTTATTACAGTAGAGTAATAGAAAGACAGTTGTTTTTCTTAGGCAGGTGAGAATACAAACATACCATATGTTTCATAACAGACTAAGGTAAGTACTGCAAATTTTCCTCTTCAACAAGTTTAGTTTTAGTTTACTTTGCCTAAACAAGAATAAAACTAAATCTAAAACTAATGTACATACATAATAAAGAAAGTCACTTTCGGCTTTTCCCGTTTAGGGGTCACCACAGCGAATCGTCACACTGACGACTCGCATGTTTGACCTTCCTGACGCAACCCTGATTCAAACCCAGGCCACAGCGGCGAGAGCGCTGCGCCTTAACCACTAGCCTACCAGGGAGTACTAATCTACATACATACATACAGTATATACTCATTGGGACACGAGGTATAGGCAGGAGCTACTCCAGGTAATACAAAACTCAGGTAAGTAAGTAAGTAAGCACAAAATATATCTTCAGTAAAGTTTTTTTGTCAACAAAAATGGTGTAAAGAGTTTTAATTCAAAAAGGTGAGAGAGCAAAGCCAGCAGTGAGGGATGAATTAGCCAGAACTGAACACAAAGGAAAAGTCCAACAACTAATGATCCATAGAAAATAACTTGCCTTCCACTGAAGCTCAGAATAAAGTCTGTCTGGCAAGAAATGAACTTAGACAAGATTATCATACAGTAGAGCAGGCTTGGCATTGCGTGGGGTTTGGATCTTTGCCAGGCTTGGTGTGGAGTGCGTTTTGCGCAGTAGCAAAGCTTAATGTGGAGCATGGCTTGAACAGAAACACAACTTGGCATGGAGGCTTGAGCAGAAATGAATCTTGGCATGGAGCAATGACAATGTGACTGCACTGGAGACCAGCACCAAAGTGGAGGAGATGACCAGAGCCAGGCATGAGGGGCATGAAAGACAAAAGCACTGACAAAGGGCTGTGGCATGTGAGGCAGAAATAAAGGGCCAGGTGAGGGAGATGAAATGTGAAATCAGTGCATGTAGGCTGGTAAAGAGAGTAGTGGTACTGGGACAAATGAGAATGGGATGAGGCAGTGGAAGAGTGTCAGAATAAAAGCATAGACCCTGAATTAGCCAGGAATCACAACACCCCTTGTCTAGACGAATGTTCTCTGTTGGAAATATATAGGCTAAAACAAATAGAGAGAGATGTGGCTAAAATATCTCTGCTCATATGCAGCTGAAAATAGATATAGGAGCATGCTATATGAAGAAATCCTCTTATTACCTCTCACTTAGATCCTTGCTGCTGCTTGACTTCAGAGTAATGGAAAGTACAATTATAGTTAAGGCCAACTTGATGTTTGTATTTTGGTCCAGCAGTCTGCATGTAGCTCACTGTTGCATGCAGTTGGGATGACTATATCAATTCAGAAACAGAAGCAAGAAGAAACATTTGTGGCAAATGTCAGAAAAATAATTTATGAAAATTAGCATGTGTAGAGAGAGAGAGAGAGAGAGAAGGAGAGAGTGTGTGTGTGTTTTCAGAGCATGAACAATATGCATTGTGACAGATAACATCACACTGGCGTCTGCTTATTTGTTGGCTTACATCTAAGACTGTAGGTAGTGATGTGCTCATGTGTGTGTGCTTTCATGGGTTACATTATATTTACCATTTTTGAAAAAATGAAAAAAATAGTCTCATCTGCAAAGAGTCTTCAGCCATACGGAGACAATGGTAACCTAGGTAACGGCTGGTTGTCGAGCATTTGATATATCCTGGCAACAGTTGTTAAGTCTGCGGAGGAAGACACTGATGAACTATTTGCTTCTTTCTTAGACAATAATTACAGCTAAGCTGCTTTTCCAGCAGGTCTGTGCGCTTGGCTCGGCTCCTAATCACCTCTTTGTTGGTAAGGAATGATGGAGGGATAGTTGTATGAAACAAGTGGAGTGTGGAGAGGGAGAGGGTTGCAAGGAAAGAGTTTTTGGCAAGTGAATCGTAGAAATTCCAAGGATGGATGTTAAGCTGCATTCACATGATAAAGAGAAAATCTGTAGATTGGATTTTCCTACTTGAAAAGAATTTTTTATCACATACAGCTATGACCTATTTGCTAGATATTGCTGTTTGTGGTTACTTTGCAGTGTTTAGTTTGCTCCCAGCCATGAACTCATGTGTATCACTTTTGAGCTGCGTGTGTGTGAAGCGTGAAATATTTGATGAGCTGCACTCGGTGTCAGCAATAAAAATTTTGTCAGGCTGCTTGATGACTTGAATTAACATTTCTGAGTTGTTTCTTTTACCCATCAAAAAGAAAAACTACAAATCCCTGTGAGATGGGATGACACTGAAAGGGTTATAGCCTAACTTGTTTTTTCAGTTATCCTCAGCAATACTAAAGCATTTCTCGGGGGCAAAAGGAAAGTAGAACATAGGATGTAGTGCCTGATCATACATATCAACAAACATATCACCCAGTGCAGTGGTGGAGACCATGGAAGTCTACTGCACAGACAAATCTGGCTAAACCAGGGTCTGAGTTCACATGC